CATATTGATTTACGGTCTTAAATATGTCCAGCGCGGTTTTTTTTAAAGTCTAGTCCCTGTTTTTATACAGTCTATGGTCTGGTCCAGTGTTTATCGGGTTGTGCGTGAGTAATAATGGTCCGTGGGGAAACACGGTGTTCCGTGTGAAGTTACAGTAAATTGACTAAACGAAGCCTCGACACAAATAATTTGCCTCGATGATTTTTTTGTATTCGAGGAATCGTTTCAGCCCTACTTCACACTCACAGGCTGTGTGTATGTGTGTGTGAACATATGGTTGTGTGTGTACAAACGCTAGCCTATCCTCACCTTCTCAATTTCAGCTAAATTACCAATCCAACTTCTGGCCAATTACTTATGATCATCTTATTGAGGCGGTCTGAATGTTGCTTCATTTGAGTTCATCTGATAGCTGAGCGTCTGCTAATGAGATGATTCTGATCCTGTGCAGAGCATGTATTGTGCGCGGTTGTTAATTGTGTGATTATATGCACAGTCCACACCTCACTTCATGCATATTCAAGGTGATGTGTAGAAGGTGTGGTTGAAGGAGAGAGAGATGTGAGGATGCTGCAGTTTACCCTTGCTGTGTAGGACTGCACTGCAAGACAATTCTGCTTCTTTGAGCTCACTGTTTGCATTACAAGACCATCACTATCTGCTAATCTGTTTCAGCTTATTCAGCCTCAGATGTTTAATGGAATCAACATCAGTCATATTATATGAGAAATTGTGAAGGACATTTGCCAAGGAAATTATGTCACACTAAACTTCAAAAAAATAAATAAAATAAAATAAAATTGAAGTTGTAAATAAAACAAAGAGTACATTTTCATATTCGTTTGACAAGAAAATACTATTTCAGTCTTTCTGCTTCAAAATTTCACATTTAATTCAGTGTTACTTTCCATTTCTTTGTAATTAATTGTGAAATTTATTAGCAATTTCTAAAGAAAAATAGATTTTAAACCAGTTTTTTTACAGTTCATCCAGAAATGAAAATTCTGTCACCATGTTTTAAACCTCATGTTATTATTTGACTTCCTTTCTTACATAAAACACAAATGGAGATACTTTGAAGAGTGTTTATGCTGCTCTTTTCCATACAACTAAAACTTGAAGTAATTAGAGGCTGTTTGCCAATATCTTTTATTATTTCTTAGAAAAATAGCCATGTGGTGTGAACATCAACAAAAAATGAATGAGTGAATGAATAAAACAGGAAATTATTTTATAGAAAGGACGACTGCAGACCCTCAAGTGTTTTAAAATATTAGATAATTTGTCATTTTTATGACAAGCCATATTATTATTTAACGTCATGTGGTGCGACTCTCCAAAAAACTAAAAAATATAATTAAATAATAATATATATTTTTTAATATTTAATATGTTATTTTATTATCATCACATTTTAAAAATAATATAATAATTAAAATTAATATAATTAATAATATGAATAAAATTAATAGAATTAATAATAACTATACACTGACGTACAAAATATGGTATTACTTTTTTACTTGGTTGTTACAACACGTGACATTTTTAGAGTTATTAAAGGTAAACTTTTCTTGAAAGAGGTATAAAGGTTTTCAAAACCATATGAAACCCACATTAATAGAAAGAGTACATTTCTAAGAATTTGGCACATGCATTTTAAACTAGAATTTAAAAGGATTTTTCCTTTTGTTTATCATGGACACTCTTATTTATTCTCACAACTGTCATTGGTTCATAATGACTTTAAAAACTGCTTGGATTTACATAAATGAGTAAATGATGACAAAATATTCATTTTTTGGACACACTGTGCCTTTAACCATGTAAAATAATGGCACAAGATGGCATCCCCTTACCCCTAAGGGCAAAAAAGTATAGTAAAACTATCAAAACACACCAATCAATGAACCAAACTGTTTGAACACTTATATCTTAACTTGGGTCAGTGAAGTGTGGTGCAATGAGATTGTATTGTTCTTTATCTTCCCACTATTTAACCTAAGAGTCAATACCTGGACCATAGTTCCTCTCGCTTCATTATCCAGACCAAATGGACCTTGACATGTCTGTTGCTTGGAACAACACAAATATAAATCTGAACAGTGATGGATCGGTCCCCGTTAGATGGATATTGATAGCAGGTAGGGCATAAGCGTGTCACTGTAAAATTGTTACAAGAGAGCTGCACACAGCCTTGAGCTGTAGGCTGCACTGAGGAGGAGAGAGGGAGGGCTGCAGGGATCAATATCAGTGAGCAGGAGAAGAGCGAGGGATGGAAGACGTGGTTGAGGAGGGAGAAACAGAGGTGTAAGGGACTGAAGAAGGATGAGGAGGCGGGGCGAAAGGAGAGAAAAGGAGGCTGGTCGGGAGAGAGAGCTCAGAAGGGAGCAATGGAGGGTCACCTTCAGCGATGGCATCTGATTCAGCACAATCTTTCCCACTCGGGTTACTGCACTGTGACCTAGCCGAGCATGCTGGGAC